GCGCATCACTCCTCCTCCTCCTCCGAGAAGTACGTAAGTGTTACAAAAGACAGACACGTTTCCGTTCGTTTCGCGAGGAGACAATGGCGACGAAAGATCTTCGACAAAACTCGAACGAAAGTTTCCCACGCCAATTTCCCACGTCGAAAGTTATCGCACACATTTTCATCGCTGATCGACCCGCCTGGTCGGCTCTGTGTGTTTCGAGAGAAGTACTTCCCCTCCTTTACTTTTCCGTCTTGAATGTTTAATCGAACATCTCGAGATGCGGAGAGCAACGTTTATTTCACTTCGATAATACACGGGGTGAATTCTTCAGTCGTCGAAATTCTTCCCCCCCTCCCCCTACCCGTCTCTTTCTTCGCGATATATTCCAGACGATTGCTATTGCACGCCTTTCTTCACCGCGCGCTGTGCCCGTTAAACTCGGCTGACGGGATCGATGGAATCGATATGATTCCAACCGGTCTAGTGTCGTTCGAGAAGAGAATGAAAACGAAAAAAAAAAAAAAAGAGGGATACGTACTTCGAGAACTTAGATAAAGGAAATATCTTTTCGACGCACTACAAATTATCGTCTAAGCATTCGCGCTTGTTCCTATCTTCTTTCATTCTCTCTCTCTCTCTCTCTCTCTCTCTCTCTCTCACTCTCTTCTACTCGTTAGATTCATGCACGAAACACGCACATGCGATGCGTGACGCTACTCAGTTCTGCTCCCGAAAATGATTTCCGGAATTTATCACTACTACATTATAACATTCTGCTACTGTACGCACGATCTACCTGTTTAACATTCTCTCGTGTTCTCGCATTCTTCCTCTTCCAATCTTTCACACACGCATATTTCATCTTCTCTCTCTCTCTCTCTCTCTTTCTCTCTCTCTACCTACCTCTCTATCTACTTATCTATCTTTCTGTTGTACATTCTTGCGTCAGCACTTTAACGCTCTACGGTTTACGTTATATACATCTCTCTCTCTCTCTCTCTCTCTCTCTTCATCTCTCTCCTGACGGCCTGTGGCGAAAGAGAGCGTGATGATCTGCACGATTAAAAGAAATAATTATTCGAATTCGCCGGGTCGCTAAATTTCGGTACGCCGCGCTCTAGAAAGCGAATGGGCATGTCGAGTGATTTTGCAAATATTTAGAAAAAAAGCCCTCTCTCTTCATCTCGCAATATCCTAGACGTTCGAAAAATGTTCCAGTTACTTTATTTTTAAACACGTCCGAGGACGTCCAGAACATTCCGTTATTTCCGGATATGCAAAGGCGTTTCGTGAGGACATCGAAGAAACGTTATTCTAACATTTCTCTAATGTCGCGAAGACACCTTAATCTCTCCTCACATTTCGGATCTTCCCCGCTCCAGAGAANAAAAACCCCCCCCCCCCCCTCTCTCTTCATTCCAAGTGAAAGGTGGCCGCTTTCTATCTTTCCAATAATGTGCCCCTCACCTTCCAGAGGCGGTAGATTGCTTATTAAATATCTCCGCGTCATTCTCAGTCATCATTTGCCACGACATACACAAATCAGATTAATCGTCAAAACTCTCTTCGTCGTTCTTGCACGTGGTTGCGTGTGCATACACGCACGCACGATTCGTACAGCCACGCTCTTGTCATTCCTCTCGTGTCTCACTTTTTACACATTTCCTCTCTCTCTCTCTCTTTTCTTTGACGTACGTCTCGCATGCATTCATACGCACTTCGCTCTCTTCAAGATACGCGAACTTAACGTTATACTTTCCTTAGCAATTAACCATATCCTGCAAACTGTCACTCTTTTCTGTTCTTCAACGAAGCTGGAGAGAAGTTATAGGGGCCATTGCTTTTACGTATTTGTATATATGTGTGCGTGTATATATATATATGTGTGTGTGTGTGTGTATGTGTGTTCAATGAGATAAAAAAAAGATTGCTTCGATCAAGTCGAGGGGATTGTCACGAGCGTGAGCTCGGCTCTCTCTCTCTCTCTCTCTCTTTCTATTTTTCTTTCTTGAAAAATGCATTGCCACTCGAAAATCGATGTTTGGCGTTCTCACGCTTACAACTCACGTGAACGAATCGACGATATCCCGAGTTCCTTACACGCGGCGACACACGCGTGTATCTATATGTGTGTGTGTGTGTTTGTGTGTGTGTGTGTGTGTGTATATGAATCGTAAAACGGGCATATCTAAAGAAAACGGTGCCGAAAAATCTCGCACAGGAGTCTTCTACAACGCCTCACGGATTGCCTCACGATTTCAAATTGCGAGACACGTCCGAATCGTTTCTATGGAAATCGTCGCGGAACGCCAGTTATAGTCAAGCAATAAATCTCGATGATAACATCTTCGTTGATAACCGAAAGCGAGAAGCTGAAAATGCGTTAAACGAGGGAACAATTTCTCGAGAGCAGCCTCGCTCGAATAAATTATGAAATCGCGTGCCACGCTCATTTTCGCGATATCGTCGACTCGTTCGCGTCAGACGACACGAATTTCCTGCAACTTGACCGTATGCGTCTGTTCGTTACATCGAATATTATATAATCGAATATAGTTGGATCGCGACACACTGACTCGGCAAAGGCGACGCACGCAGATTGTAATAAAAAGGTGTTGAAGGAAAGTAAAAGGAAAAAATCCGAAAAAAAAAAACGCAGAAGAGAATCAAATCGGTAGAACTCGAGAATCAACGGGTTTCTTAAATGCGTGCAGCATGGCGCACACGCGGCAAATACGCGCGCAAATACTTTCGTATACTTTATACGCACGTCTCAACACACGCGCATGTTATATGTATATGTATATATATGCGTGTACATCGTATAAACGTGTATCATGGAAGCGCCAAAGATACCAGAAAACTTGGAAACTGTGAAAAATTCAGATGCGTACATATGAGAAAACGAGATGTGTTGCAGACTTGCGTACACGGGAAACAAATTAATATCAATTCAAGACAAACACACACACACACACACACGAGAATATAATATAATGATATGAAGATAAAACTTGCTTTTACATGAAGAAATTCCACGTTGAAGAACTAGTTTGGTTCCGCCAATGGACAATCAAACGCAATTTGGTTTCCTTCAATCAAATTGCGTTTAATTGCCCATTTTTCGACTGATGCAATCAAACTGGCTCCTCACAAAGTACATAGTTTCATAAAAAATATATTCTTATTATTCAATGATCATTTTTACAAATATAGAGAAAAAAATATTGAACCAAAAAAAAGACGATATATTTTCAAATTGATACAATTCTTAATTTAAAGATATTGTTTCTTTTTCTATTCAATATCTTGTTCTCTTAATTTATGAAAATTCTTCTTGAATAACACGAACATATTTTTTTAATGAAACTATATATTTATAGATAGATATCCATACTGTCTCTCCTAATCTTTATAATTTTAATATTTCTAGATATAGATATATTAAAGTGGTAGAGAAAATTTAGAAATTCTTCATATAAGAGCAAGTTTTATCTTCATATGTAAGATTACATATTCTTCCTTATATATGAGAATATTAGTTTTGAATTGATATTAATTTTTTTTTCTGTGTAGGAAAAACTTGGTTAGTTCGCTGAACTCAATGACACAGCTACGTTCGTTGATCGAATCTTCGGGAAACATATCTCGCATCCGACGTTCGTGTCGCATCTAAATGACGAACCACGTTCGCGTTATACTTGAAACTGATTACCCGTGGTCCCCGGTTACGGTGTACGCTACTGAAGGATATCACGTGACAACACGGCCAAGAGAACGACCCGAGTCTCGTTGATGACGGATGATGATGAATCTCGTTTCGTGGGAATAATAAATGCTACGGATCTTCACACTGTCGGACGAATCGTAACGTAACGCAAAAGACGGAAAAAACAAAAATGAAGAATTTCTCTCTCTCTCTCTCTCTCTCTCTCTCTCTCTCTCTCGATCTTTTAGGCCCTCGTGCGTCCATGTGTTATGAACGCCGACATCGAGCTTTGTACATTACCGTATTACCGTTCAAGATCCGCGATACTTCGGACACTTCGCGACGTCGCGCACTTTCAGCGTCGCGAATGTCGAAGCCTAAAGATAATAGATTTCGTAATATTTCTATGTGAGGGCGCCTCTCGTACGTTTCGTTTTCGCAGAATTGGTTCCTTGGCACCTTGGTCCGGCCATCTGATTGTGAGAAAAAAGAAAACATAGAGAATCAATATGGCTGAGCTGTATTTGCGCACGGTGATAAGGCGGCGGAAATGTCAATGGTTACGTAAAAAGAAATATGCAAACGCGCGTGCTGTTGTCGAAATGACGTCGTTGATTAATCACGGCGAAAGGTACGAAGGGCGCATTTTACGACAGAGTTACCCTAATAGCGTCGTACATCAGCTAAATGAATATTGTATGTGTCTGTTTGCGTGTGTATAGTTTGTGTGTGTTATATGAGATATTTGCTAAAAAGTATGTATAATTATATATATGTGTGTGTGTGTGTGTGTGTGTGTGTGTGTGTGTGTGTGTGTATAGATATACATACGTAATATACAGAGTTACAATGTAGCGTCACATTTATCATACAGATAGACAATGTTAACTTTTATCTCGATTCGCGTATTCTGCTAAACAATTCTTACCGTAACTCTAACCGCTATATATATATATATATAGTAGTTAGCTAAAATTAACTAAAAGGTCTTAAATATAGTTCCTGTCTTCACTCTCGCTCGCTAACTTACACACTTAAAGATTACCTTAAAAATTAATTTTTCGTAGGCATATCTATGCATTAAACCCTTAAATTACGCTCTCGCTCTCGCTACATTGATCTCCACGCGTTTCATCAAGTAGAAAAGAAAGTATTAGCATTAATTGTAGTAATAATCGTAAAATTACGTGCGAAAAAGGATCCATATTGATGTAATTACATTGGTCTCTATTGAATATATATATATATATATATATATATATATATATATATGTGTGTGTGTGTGTATATATATATATATGTATATATATATATATATACACATATACTCGCGGGCGATAACGCGCTTGTACAATCGACGAAGTAACAGAAAACGCACATCGAAGACGCGTAGCCGAAGGAATTACAAAGAAAAAAAGAAAGATGTAAAATAGAGAGAAAACAAAAAATAACAGACATTTATCGGTTTTCCCCCTCTCGCGCCACGGTCGATCAATCATTCGACTCGCCGCGGACTCGATCGCTCCTCTCTTTGAAAGGCACGAGAAATTGTTTCCAAAGCCTCTTGTTCGCCTCACATATTCGCAAAGCTAAGAAATCCGCACATGTCGCGTAGAAAAAAATTCGTATAATATGTATGTACGTAGGTGTGTGTGTATGTGTGTATACGGCAGTTTATATCGTATAGGATAAAAGAGTGATCTTGAAAAGCTCTCACACGGGAAGGTCGTCGCCGCCGGCCGTCCCCGCTCTTTCTCTCTCTTTCATTCACTCTTTTCCAAGTCCTCGCGATTTCGCATTCGATCCGAGGAAGATCGGTGGATCAGCGACTGACGACAGGAATGACGATCGGAAAACCTCCGTCGTACCGAAGAGGCTCGATCGCCATCGCGCATTGACGAGTAGAGTATGGAGGAGACAAGCGATCGTAGAACGCTTCTTCTTCCTCTTTGTGCCTATTTATTTTTCTCTTCCTCGGGCACTTCAAGTTTACCGGATGTACCGGCATCGTCCTCGTTTTTACGCACTACGTCTCTACGAAGGAACAAAAGTTTCGGTATTCTGGGATATATTTGGCACAGATTAAACGGAATTCTTGTTTTCAGCTCTTCAACTTCAATTCGCGACGCATCTCTTCGCACTCGCTCGGCCGATACGACGAGAACACAGAAGAAGGGAGTTTCTCTCACTCACTCACTCACTCACTCTCTCTCTCTCTCTCTCATGCGAACATGTGCGAGGGGCGACGTATCGGGAAAATCTCGGACGTCGTTTTCATAGTCGTCGTCATCGATCTTAGCGGTCCACCAACCCGGCGGTGTTATCTTAATGTACGTCAAATATTAAGCATCGCGCGCGTAGGTATATGTATTTTGATTGAATTGTTATCATTGTTGTTGATGGCTGCTGTTTTTCTGTTGTTCGAGATATATATAGTCCGCTCTCTTCGTATAATCGCTTACGCTTTGTCCAGTGGTAACCCCGTAAGTATCGAAAGAACATAAATCGCGCCGTTATAATATCTTAAATATCTCTCGCGTAATCGTATTGTGTTTTTCTTCGTTTCCGTAACAATGTAAAAAAAGAACGCAAATATGTATCTATACGCTTTATGTAATTTTACACACACGCACACACACATGCACACACACACACATATGTATGTATGTATAATCTATATTGTATATCATACAGAGCGTACGCAGCCTTATCACGCTAGGAATATTATCGTAGTAGTTATTCGCTTAAGTCTATAAAGGTCTTATCTATTAACGGGAAAAGAAACAACCCGCTTCGCGAGTTTCTCTCTCTCTCTCTCTCTCTCTCTCTCTCTCTCTCTCTCTCTCTCTCTCTCTCTCTCTATCTATCTATCTATCTATCTATCTATCTATCTATCTATCTCTCTCCCTCTCTCCTTTTTGCCTCGCGAAGAAGGGTGATTCTCATCGGGGGAGGTCAAGGGAAGAAAACCTTCGAGATTCAAAGCGATCTCGTGGCGACCGTCGGAGACCGTGTCGGCCAGGAGGAGGAATCGTGTGTGTGTGTGTGTGTATATATGTGTGTGTGTGTGTATGTGTGTGTGTGTGTGTTCGGTATTTACATGAGAGCGAGCATGTGGGGGAGAGAACGACGTTTCTCTCGACGACGGGTTCGAGGATTCTTTCTCACCATCGAGTTTCGACTTGCGGCTCTTGTGCCTCCGCCTAGAATAAACTTGTATATCCACGATCATTGAATATCGCTTCGTCCCGAGCACAATTCCGGTCAATGACGTGGGGCATTGTCCTCGGTTCGGTCGTCGACGAGCGGCCGCTCGATCAACCGAACCGCTCTGTCATCGCTTCGCGAGGAACGCGACACGGTGTCCCTCCTCCGTCGAGAGACGAAGCGCGAAGTAGGAACGTATACATATAAAAAAAAAAAAAAGAAAGGAGAAAGAAGAAAAAAGAAACATAAGCAAGAACCCATTTCGTAACGTTCGCGATACACGAAACTCGGCGCGCCGGATGAAGAAGGTTGCCCTTCGAGCCGATCATCGAGGAAGACCGACGGAGAAAGAGAACGCTTCTCCGTTCTCCAGCCGTCCTCGGCGCGGAGGAGAACTCGCGACGATCGTCATCCCTCGCGTTTTCTCTCTCTCTCTCTCTCTCTCTCTCTCTCTCTCTCTCTCTCTCTCTCCACTTCTCGGATCGAGGAGCGAGCGAGCGAGCGAAGGAGCGAGTGAGAGGGATTCCTCAGGATTTCCGAATGAACCGTCGCGATAACGATGACGACGATGCCGATGACAACGACGACGATGACAGTGATACCGGCGACGAGGATGATAGTGACGACGACGTCATCGAGTCGCGTCGTTCCGTGCTGCATGCCGTTCAGTGCGCGGGCCGCGGCGCGTTGCTCGATCACGAGTGCTTCACCACGATTACGCCCGGTCGCTGCTGGGTCTGCTGCTGCGTGTGAAACTGCAGAAAGTTGTTCACCTCGGCATGCAGTAGTCGCTGCTTCGCAGACGCCGTCGCGGACGTCGCCGACGACGAGGTGGAGGAGGACGAGGGGGAGGAGGAGGAGGAGGAGGCGACGGAGGACGATGTCGCTGCCTTGGCTGACGACTTCGACGCCGTCTGCTTGTTGCCGGTGGTCAACGCCAACGGCACGTCTTGAGCGGGCTCGTCGCTGAACAGATGGTCGCCCTCCAGGTGACGTATCGCCTCGACGATCGTCTCCAGGTTCTGCCGGGATGTGTTGGCGATGTACAGCCTCGCCTGAGGCGTACCGTCCTCGAGGGAGTTCGACGGAGATGGCAACCTGCGGTTCAACGAGGCGAGAATGTTACTGAATATTCGACGGGTAATCATCTGGGGGAGATCAAGAAGGCTGATAAGGCTCGGTCAGGGTATAGTCGGGGATAAAATATATATTATAGGCTGTAATGTATGAACTATGTAAATATATCGAATTATTGTCACCTACGTAAGCAGACAATAAACGAACCGTTAATAAGCGGCTCGTCGTTTTCTCTTCTCACATTTCGTAAGTCTTGTTCGAAAGATTTGGTTTCTGTTAACAGCGCTGTGACATGAATGACAAGCATTTGACAGTATACAAATTGATTCTCGAGGCTGAGTTTCGTTGAAGTCGTACTATTTTGATTTCACCGCCGTTTATTATCAGGGCACGATCGGTAAAATTGCGCCTGCCGCGTAAAGAGAATGAACTCTATATTTCTTGGATTTTGTTTTACAAATTCTGTATTTTTCATATGTCTTATATTGAATCTCGAAATTTACGTCTCGCGATCAGTTTGATTTCTTCATATCTTTATACACCAACATGAGGTAAAAATCAAGATTGTCAGTGTAATTTCTCGTTTTATATAATCTCGTTGAAAATTATTTACCGTGACATTTGCTTAGACTCGTTTGTCGCTCAAGTTCTTCTTACGTTGTTAACTCGATATATTTAAATAATAACGAAATAATCAATATTACAATTTTAAAAAATTAATCAATTAAACATAAGTAATTCTCGAAATAAGGACTATTCACACACTTTGCCCATATTTCTGTGTCTCTTCTTGAAGGACTGAAAGGTAGAGAATACGCTATTCGACTAAGTGCGAAAGGTAAAAATGAAACAAAACCGGCGCAAAGCCCCCTCTCTCATACCTCTCCACTTCGACTTTGGGTTCAGCCTTCATGGCGGCCTCCAAGACGCTGGGTAACCGTTGAGGCTCCGCCAAACCAACGGTCGGCGAGAAGGACCTGCTGGGGCTCGCGGTGATGTACTGGGGCGAGGCGTTCTTGAAATCCGCGCTGGACGACGCGTACGTGACGCGACTTGACGACGAGAAGGAATCAGCGGTGGTCTGCTCTTCCATCGCCGCCGCCGTGAACACTCCGGAGTTCTGAGCGGCGAAGGTGACGATCTTCGGGCTGCCTGGGCGCGATTCCTCCTCCTCCTTGATCTCTTCGTCGGCGACCAGATCGGCCGGCTGTTGCGGCGACAAAGGCGGTAAGCTCGGGTCCGGGCTGGAGGTCTCTACGGTTTGAGTGGAGCCCACCGGCGGCAGAGACATGACCGACACCACCTGGAGCGACGCCACCGCTTCCTCCGTCTCCTGCGCCATCACGTTGTCCGTGTGGTCGATCACCTGCTGAAGCGAAAACACTCGCATTAGCGTTGAACGCGATCAACCGCACGGAACACGCGTCGTAATGAAGGTAATTGCTATGCCTATTTTCTTCCAGGAATCTTTTTGTGAGACCTCACCTCCCGTTTTCGCTGTTTTTAGCTTATTCAAGGTGGTATTAAAATGAAATCTGTATCGTTGAGGGGAAAAATATCCCAGAAATAAAAAAGTATTTATATTCGACAGGTACTGCTAATAAACAACTTTACTTATACTAAATACGCATATTTTTGAGAAAAAAATGTTTTCAAAAGAAAATTAAACATTTTTAATCTGTAACTTTTATGGGGGGAAAAAATTGTTTATTTCGTTTAAATATAAGAAGAATTAGAATTTAAATATGTTATTAGTGCCAACCGAGAAATGTTTTTTATTATTTTAATATATTAATTATATTAAATAATAATATAGTAAATATATTAAAATAGTAAAAAATATTTCTTGGTGGGTACTAATAACATATTTAAATTCTAATTAATAATCTTATAATATAATTAATATATTATAAGGAAATATAATTAATAATCTTATAATATATTTCATATATTATAAGAAATATTTTTTATTATTTTAATATATTTCTTTCTATCAATAAGGAATTCAAAAGAGAAGTTAACAAGTGTCTAATTAATCAGTCAGTAACACAAGTAGGTTTTACTAATTTATATGCCATCTAAATACTATTTTTTTTAATGGGTTGTGAAGTAACAATGAGAAAATTACGAATTGGGAATTTCACTCCACGAAGTTTCGAAAGTAACAAGANGGGGGGATCGTTGCGTCGATCGTTACCTCGTGGGTTTGATAAGTCATCAGTTGATTGGTATCCCGGTTGTATCTCTCTGGATACAACTGGCTCTGGATCTCTCTCATCTGTTTTTCTAAAAGCAGTCTCGCGTGACGCTCCCTGTCCAGCTGTCGTCTGAGCTCCGACACCTCGCTGTTTACGACGGAATGTCCCTCAGTGGTCACTGTGATTACCGACAACGGCTCAGGGGACATGCTGCCTAAGCCCTCGTCGCCGCTCTCACTGACGTGCATAGGTAGATTAACGACGACACCTGAAAAACGCGAAAGCGGCCGGGCGAATGAGCGATCGCGCAGATATCCGAATTTTTGCAGTCGGATCACCGACTGCTGAATCCGTGCTTCTTCTTCTCCATTCTTTTCAATCGTCGGGGACACGCGATTAAACTTATCTTCATTAAAAACTTCGTATCAACACACACGTGAAAAGAACTTTCGTTGAATCAACGTGACCGAACAATGAACGAACCGATCCCGGCGCGTTTCGGTTGCGGGAAACAAAATGTCCCTCTGATTCTTAAGGCCGAAACATAACAGCCAGAAATTTCGTTTCCTTCAACCGAAAACGCGTTTTAGTTCACCATTGTCATTGTTACACACATTAGTTTAACCAATGCTTCTTCTTTGATATTTTCATTCGTTTAACCAATGCTTCTTCTTTGATATTTTCATTCGAAGAAACGAGATATAACGAAAACAATATTTTGCTAATAATTATTAAATGTGTGGTACTTGGAATTTACGATTGAATAAAACCGGGCTCGTCGGCACGCCGTAAATCCGCTTCGTCGCGTAGCCGTCGAACTTTCTGAATATCGCCGTGCCATCGATGGAGGAAACTAATTTACGATAGAACCGGAAATTGAAATTGTCCCAGCCGAAGTTCGCGACAGATACTTTCCGGCGGGCGTACCGACGTCGGCCAAAACGCCGCAACTGACGTGTTGAGAGAGATAGAAGGGGAGAGGAGGGGAGGAAGAAAGGAAGAAGGCGCGTTGGAAAGCAGGCACCCTTAATCCACCCATTGTATTTAGCCCTCCAAATACGATGACGAGAACCACTGCCGTTCTTCTTCAAGCGCGATTCCGTCATCCTCATCCTTCGTCGTTCGAACATTGAGCGCGAAATGACGAATCACGAATTAAGAAAACACGAGCCCGGTCTCCCCTACACGTGTCACACGAATTGGGACGTGTGAAGTTAACACCCCAACATTAGTTCTCGATAGTTCTGATTAGAGTTTCAGCTTTCTTTCGGCGAGTATGGGAGTACTTTTATATTCATAAAAAGAGTTTCGGCGATTAACATTAAAAAAAAAAGGGCAATTAAAAAACGAGGTGCTAACTTCACACCTAACATCAAGATCGGATAGTTCTGAATAGCTCATCTGATGTATTTCGAAAAGTTCTCGGGTTCCTGACGCAGAAGAATATTTTTTAAATTATAAATTAATTAAAATTTTATCATAAATTTGGAGAGATCCAATACAACTAGAATCTCAAATGTTCAAATTGTCAACTAAAATAAGTTTTATGTACTCAACATTTATGTATTATTAATTTATTAGTAATTTCCTTTTTTCACGACGAAGTTACTTTGCCACTAATTAATTGGGAGACATTCACCTTACTCATTGCGTTCTTTTTTCGTTGCAAAAATAAAAGTAACGAAAATCCGCGGATTTCCTTCGCGTAAGGAATAATTCCACCCATTTCCCCGCGAATTATAAATTTATATCTTACAGGAATTTTTTATATAATTAAGTAAGTGACTATTTATATAATTAATAAGTCGTGTTACGTCAATCTGCGTAACGCGTTGTTCCTTTCCCGCTGCAAACAGCCTGTATATCCCTTCGGCAACGAGGTCGGGAAGAATATAATCACTTTCGCGAAAATGACGAACGGCACGCGTCCGCACGTTGGGTTCGTCGTCGTCGTTGACGTCAGAGAGATGAAAAAGTGCCTGCTTGTAAAATTCGCCATTCTTTGCCGCAAAATATCGTCGTTTGTGCGTGGACTCGATGATTATAGAGAAAGAGAGGGAAATAGATAGAAAGGAACCACGCCGGATTTTCCATATATTATTCTAACAATGCACACCCGGTTCTCCAATCTTTATCGCGTTGGAGAAGCAGCAAATCTTCGAGGTCGCGTTCGAGAACGCGGGTGTGTTATTTATTTATCCGACGATTCAATTTCGCAATTGACAAAATAATTTACAACGGCAACTTCGACGTTACACCCGGCGGTATATAAGCCCGCGAGAGCGAGCCGTGAAATAAGCGGATTGCAAACGTATATCTCCGGTAACTTGTCGCGCACCACGATTGTTTCGCGCTTTTTGCTTTTATGATCCCGTGCACCGGGATCCGTGCAGTCGCGATCAATAATTCAAGCCCATTTGGAAAATCTCGTTACACAACGAACGATAAACGTTCATTCCGTCGCATTTCGCGAATATAAATGTTTGGGCGCGCGACAACCGATACAAAGTTTTGTCGATGCATTTTTATATCAGCGAACACGTAACTTCTCGCTTTCAAATGCTATCGCAATTTTTCCGATTTCCTCCCCCCTCCCTCCCTCTCTCTCTCTCTCTGAGAACACCAGGATCTTATCAAACGTAAAACTCGAAAAATTCCCACCTGTCAAGAGGAACATTTAATCGTTTTAGTAGACGATATAATAAGCGATCCCTTCGATTATTACATGAATTATACCGTCGAATTACCTTGAGTGTCGGACTTGCGTTTCTTCGGTAGGTCGCCGCCCTCGTGCTGATTCACCAGCCGCTTCAGCTGGCAATTCTGCGACAGCAGTTGCGTCTTCTCCTGCTCCAGCTGGTAAATGTACTCGGCGGTCTGCTGAAGTATCGCGGCCTGCACAGAAAACGTTATTTCGTAAACACGTGATCTTGTCCACGCAACCCGGCGTGATTCCCGTCTTGGGAAGAGAAGAAAAGAATTCGCGAACTTCGTGACGCGAAGTACTGGAGATATCTCGCGGGTCTTCGAATCCCCGCGACTAATCCGAGGGAGATGCGGCGACGGTGCGTCGCAGGTGAACTCTCTCTCGCGCGTCATTCGCAACTCGTGTGACGAAGGGAAGCGGAGGAAAGGAGGAAAGGGGGAGGACGAGGGCACGAGCTTCCTGTTTACGAGCTTAAAGGGTTTCACGACGTGGTCGGGGGGAGAAGGGAATCACCGGAGTCGATAACATCCGAGGGAAGACTATCGCGTGACGTGCGTACTATGTCGTAGTAAAACAGGAATGACTTTGAGAGATAAACCGGCGGAAACAAAAGGGCCAATTGATAGGCGAGGTAACGGGCTCGGGTGTACGGTTCGCACCTGCCGACAGGTGGTTAACGAGCAGATGCTCTCTCTTTCTCCTCTCGTCGTACGGAGAGCCGTTAAATGCGGGAACAACGGCGGCGCGCCTTTTCCATCATGAGCGGCCGGTCTTTCGCGTCAAAACGTCTCGCGATTATCCCCACGAGGACGCTCCTTTTTCGGAGCCATAATTGGACATCGGGCCGCGAGCAGCCGACATTGATAGCGACTTCCACGCGGCAAGCATGCTGGTCTGTACGTTTTCGTAAGGGAACAAACGAAAGGGAGACAAGAAAGGAAGAACAGACACCCGGGTGGAAATTCTGCCGTCGAAAAATGAGTTCAGTTGAATTTATCCGAACGATGGACGACGCATTTCGGCCGGGGGGAAAAAAATTTATAGTTTTACACGAACCAATTTTGGTTCTTATAAGCAAACATTCTGTAACCCCCGAAACATATTTACTCGCCCGTCGTCAGATAGGCGACAGTTAAACTCACTTTTCAACGTATATTAAATCATTAATTCTACAATACATACGATAGGAGCTAAAAATAACTTCAATTCTACACGGAGGAAAATAATTTGCTAGCATAGTAAATCTTATGCTGTCGCAACGAAATTTGTCGGTTAATTGGCTGAGTTGTTTTGCTGAATCTGCAGATTATTTTGCTCTGTAAGAACAAATTAATAATTGTTAGGAAACGATTCTGTTCTAACAGCAAATCAAGGACAAATTCATTCAACAGAATTTTTCTATCCTGGCATTGTTTCTTCTATAATTATAAATAATTTGCTAACGTTTGGTTATGCCAACTAAATTTTGTCGCTGTCGCAACGAACATACGGTAACAACGATAGTTTCGCTACAATAGCAAAATTATTCTCCTTCTTACGTAAGAATATTTGCGTAGAAATTTCTCATGATTTTCCCAAATACAGCATAGAATCTCGTTAGAATTTCCAAAATTGTCCCAAAATTATCCCCCACGCTGAAAGGAAAATATTTAGTATTTGTAACTACAATCATCATAGTGAATGAATTATAGTCAACCGTTATTATAATAAGTGTTACTCAGCAATGATAATCTTAAATAAACACTATATCGCTTTTCCATGGTTACCATCGCCTGCCATCCCCACTCCTCTCGTTTCGTTTGGCATTTAGACTCTTCTCGGAGATGTAAGACGCTCAATCTCATTTAAGAATATTAGATTGAAATCGTATTTGGGGTTTGGTGAGTGTTGCCCCACGGGCTGCTCAATGTTTAAAGTGGTATTGTTATTACTATTGTTATTATTACCATTATTATTATCAATATATGATGAAATTAAAAATAATATTAGAATATACCATATGTGTATATTAATTTTGTGTGTGTGTGCTTATAAAATATAAATACCTAAAATGTTTCATATATTTTGTTCAATCGTAATATAATCGTAGTGTAAAATAGAAATCGGAAGAAAATTTTTAGGAAAACGTTGCAAGTGTCGAAATAGAATCTATTTCGATTTTCCACTTAGAAAATCGTATGCTTGAAACGTTCTAAGCAGACCCTGCATAAATTTCCCAACTAGAATCCATGATTATTTTGGGAAATCGGACTGGATCCCAATTAGATATCCAAGAAATGTTCAAAGCGAGTATAACTGCTATTTTGAACGACGATGTTCTTAAGTTTCTGTTTTCGCTATTTTCTAGCGTCAAAATAGATTGTTTCGAAGTAACATTAAATCTGCAAAAATTAAAGGTTCAAAGCAGAAGTTAACCAGTATAATATCATCACAGTAAGTTTTTACTACAGTCTACAGGCCATCGGAGTATACACAAATTATTCTTCCAAGAGTGTCAAACTAGTATTGAAATTTCGACTTTGGTTGAACTTGCGGATCAATATATGCAATGAATCATTTCTCTCTCTCCCTCCCACTTTTTTATCGTGACAATTTTGCAAAGTGAAAATTATAATATCGAGTAATTAAATGCCAATACCTGGAAACAATTTGTTACGAAGGCACGACGACGACGACGACACGAGTCTGCCTAGGTGACCTTTAAACCAGCGTTATCGTCGAGTTTCCTTATTTTATCGGACCGGAATGTGCAATTTAATCATAAAAACAATGGAATTATACAAATGCGAGGTCAAGCGCGAACAAGAGTTTAAATAGAAGGCAATAAATAACTTAATTTCGGATTCGACAGGAAAATTATAATCATTTCGCGGCGGGTACATAAACGAGCGCGGTGAAATCGCGAGTGCACTCGTAGGAGGAAATCTAATCCGACGCATATTACGCACACAGGTGGTGCAGTAGTCGTCCTGATTGTTAAACAAGTCAACGCCTGTTTGAGGAGCGCGTAAATAAAAGAATAGAATAACGCGAAGAGAGACAAATAACAACACTCGCCAGCGTGAACGGTTAATAATACACGCTTGGTAAATCGAAAGAATCAACCGTCGAGATGGAAGGTGTAAAACAACAGCCGCACGATCAATTCGACGATGAAGCGAACAAAGTGTACGAAATCGAGGAGGTTTCCAACAAGAAATTGGGCACCGATATGAATTACCGGCACAAATACCTCTGGAAGCATGTTGTCTCTCACGTGGTCTTACAGACGTTGTGGCTTATCGCCATAATATACACGGTGTTCTTCCACATAAAAGCGGCCACTTTCCTTTGGGGTAGGTATCGACCGGGAAATGGCGACGAGATCTCGTTGCGCTCATTTTGACGCAGCTTCGTGAAATTAAAAAATGTAACTAATCTAGATTTAGAACACACTAGGTATTCCCTAACCCCTCCGAGATTTGGTTATATCTTCCCTCCGGTTAGATGAATGAAACACGTGGAAAAAAAATTATTCTTGAGTTAATCAAGAACGGATATTCTCATATATATAAGCAAGAATATTCTTCGATTTTTAGTCTTCAATTGAACTGAATTCAAGTGATACTTGCATCAATATAAATTCAATCAAGGCTAAAAGTCTTCTGAGAGAGAAGATTATGAAATATTCTTGTTTATATGTGTAGGAGAATATCCATATTCCTGATTTAAGATAATTTTCTTTTCCGTGTACGAATGAGGGAGAAATAACCGAGTCATCTCGAACGAGGCTTTGTGAAATGCTGCTTAAAAGTGTAACGGCCTAATCTCAGATAGATTTTAGGCACGAGTTTTGCCTTCAACTCGTCCTCCATCTGATCTTGTTTCTTCCCCGCCAATAATGATTCTATTTCCTACGATTCAAATGTATCCGACCGAAAGAAAAACGGCAACACTGTGTTGACGACAAGAGCATGAAAGTATTGGCATATTTGCGACAGGAAGTCGCGGTAACGTTACGACGATAACGTGCGGTTAATCGCCCGTTTTGCGTTAATCGCTCCGATATGCGTTCGTTCATTGTTGATTACATATTGCCACATATCCTGTTTTGTATCTATCCGTCTCTCTATCATAGACGATTCGAAAAACCATTGATTTAACAACGTACCTATAGGTAAATTAAGAGAATCTATGGAATTGGTCAACCAATTACTGACTTCTCTCTCTCTCTCTCTCTCTCTCTCTCTCTCTCTCTCTCTCTCTCTCTTCGTCGGATCTATCAAGGCTTTTGCTGCACCCAAGCCTTCTTTAGAGAATAAGTCTTTGTTTTCGTTTCACTTCTTATAACTCTTTCAACCTTTCCATTTATTATAGAACATTACGATATACAAATGTTGAATATCGACTCAACGCAAAACATTGAGATAACGTAAATACAATATGTAAATTAATGCACGGATATATACATTGATTTAGCAAAAAAAAAAAGTTGAATAACGAGCGATTTTAAAACACACAAGTAGAAAATGATTTTTGCTGTTTAGAAGTTCTCGGGCTATGACAGGCTAGTTAATGACCCATAAACATTGTTCAGGATTCTTCATCGGCTTCTGCCAAGCCCAGAGTATAGCGTTGGGCGCGCATCGCAGCTTGAGTCACAAGAGCTGCAAGATGACCACACCATTGAAATACTTAGTTCTCATGTGCCAGACCATGGCAGGCCAGGTAATGAGAAGCAACGAATATGTGTACTCACGGATTTTGTCGGGAAATTCCGCGATCGATATGTGTAAAAGAAAAGAACATAACAGGGATCTAACGCGCGACCTATTGTCGCCCCCCTCTCTCTCTTTCTCTCTCATACGAACGAATTTCGCTCACGTTTCAGAACAGCATGTTCACGTGGGTCAGGGACCACAGGATTCATCACAAGTACAGCGACACGGACGCGGATCCCCATAACTCTAAGAGAGGATTCTTCTTCTCGCATATCGGCTGGCTTTTAGTCAAGAAACATCCGCTCGTGCTTGAGAAGCAAAAGCAAATCGACGTGTCCGACTTGGAAGCCGACAAACTCATCATGTTCCAATACAAGTAAATCACAGAAACTGACTATTCTGGCTACATCGTTAGTGTTAATGCGTTCGCTTCACGACGCAACGATCTCTCACGAGAGAGAGACCACCGGCATCATATATATGCGTGA